CCACACACACACACACACACACACACACACACACACACACACACACACACACACGAACGCCAACGAAAACATAACCTTCTTGGCGAAGGTAATAATAATGGTTTTGACGTTCCTATTCTTTGGACATGAAAAAAGGGTGAAACAGGAGAGTGAGTTTAGGCAGCTGGGTGACTTTTCGGACAATTGTTTTTCCTGTGGTTATCCTTGTGATAAAGAGCTTGTTCACGTTTACCTGGAATTGTTTTGAGAGGCATGTGGCTAACTTGCAGAGTTGCGGGCAAATCTAATAAAGCCCTCCTTTGAGCGTAACGAAAAACAAGGCTGTCAACCACGATTCCCGTTTAAGGTTGATTGCCTGACAATGTGGTGTCACTGTCAGCCTTAACCTGTACTGTTGATCTGTATCTGCAGCTGTGTGTAGCCGGTGTAATCACCCATCGGTGGGACACACGTGCTTCTCAGGGACTTAACTCCTGTTACACCCGACCTTTGCACATGTAATTGCTGTTATTAGGAAGGAGGAAACAGAAAAGTGGGTTTCGGAAGATGGATGAGTTTTCGGACATGAAACATGTGCAATAGTAATAATAATGAATGGTTTATTGGTCAAACATTACCCGTGCAATCGCAGCCTTTTGTAGCAATGAATTGAAGCAGGGTTTACAATCAAATAATTGACATGATACATATAACCTATTTGCTCCACACGCTCTTGTGAAACGGTGAAGTCTTTGGTATTGCCAGCAGGGTTGATGGTAGGTGTGCGCTCAGGCCAACTTTGGGTTCCCATAGTAACGTTGCGTCATGGTTTACCTGAGCCTGCCATGGGCTAAAAATATGCACTTCATCATAGATTCGGAAGGTGGCAGTTCCCCAAACATACTTAGTTGAACATCTAAAGAGTTTGGGTACTGTTTTTCTGATATTGACCCGGTATTTAATTACTTGTGCATTCCATTTGCAAGTGACTCCATTTGCGACGCATTAGAAATCACAAAAAACTTTCGAGAAAATACACAAATTGTAGACTAGGTGTAACGTTTGATAATTTATACGTATATACAGTACACATTGTGGCATCAGACTCCCCATCATGTTGAGACTTGAGGGCACTACTGTAACCGCCCTCTTTCCATTGTTCTCGTCCACTGGGTGTTTACACTTAGAAGGTCGATAGAACCAGTCGGGCAAGTACGGCGTCACCCGAGCGGTGTTCGGGTTTCATCGTGAGAACTCGGCTGTCTTCGTAAGTCAACTTCAGGTGATTAGTCAAAGAGTTAGAGCACTGAAGCTAGACGTTACCAAGCTATGGGAGGGAGGGGGGATAAATTCGTGAAATTCTTTTTCCTGCATTTAACTTGTATTTGGTCGACATTGCCATCATAAGCTCCTGGGTCTCTCTTTGCTCTCTTCGTGTTTTTCGCTATACTGGCCGATTTACCCAAATAAAACTGACCCAATAGAAAACCTAAAAAAACGCCAGAAATCAAGTCAAAATGCCCGAAACAAACAAACCAACCTTCTACTTGGAGAGTAAAGCAGCGTTACAGTTCATTTTGCATCGTGTGTGTGTGTGTGTGTGTATGGGGGGGGGGTATTCTTGCTTGCAACGATTTGGTGAACTGCTGATGAATTTTGAATTAATCGTAACAAATATCTCCATAGTAGTGCAACTGCCTGTACTGGGATATAGCATTTCACACCTATTCTACTTCCGGGTTGCCATATTAACATTGCGTCACGTTCCTGTCAAGGCCCGAACCATACAGGTGCACTTCTTAACAAAGTCGAAAGGCGGCAGTTTGATCAGGTGTCCCTGTTCTGTACTAAGTAAAGATCTGCCCTGACATCTATGACTGTTTGTAATAGTGAGGCAAAATGACACCATCAAATTGTGCAATGCACTTTTATTGCTGCTACAACTCTTGGGTATACAAAAAGCAAGAAGCGAGCTCATACAGAAGTGTTATGGAAGATGAGTAACATGTAGAATAGGATAACTTGTCACCAATATCTCCAAAATTTGTAGGAATGTCACCATAAACACAGATCCGAAACGGTGAAAAGTTTGGTGTACAGATTCGTTACGTTCATATATATTGAGAATGTTTTATCTCAGTCCTAAAACAAAACACAGGCACTTTGTTGGTCTTTATTGAATGCCTTGTATGGCAGGAAAAGGTCTTTCAAGACAGTTTCTATGTTGGTAAGTCCAAGTTAAAACAATTTAACTAGTCAACAGTGATGAGATCTTAATACTAGTATATTGAGAACGGGATAATGTCTAAAGAAAGATACGTTATGATAGGTTACTACAGACCACTTAGGGAGGTTATGAGTTAACTTGAATAGTAAGAAGTTGCTCTTTGAAAGCTTGATTGCTGAATTGCTATGAGCTATATCTGGACACGTTTTGTGTGTCCCACTGATGCATTTTGCTCCATGACATTTACGCTTGTCAGTTGCCTTACTTGCGGCAAACGCCGGTATTGTCGTAGTGACCACTTTAGAGATTCTGGCAGAAATGACATTGCTGCTTGGTGGTGGCTTCTGGGCAGCACAGGCAAGTCTGCAACGAGGAAACGTGTTACAGTAAGACATCACAACATCTGGAGGCGGAATCCTATCCAACGGTTAACATACAAGGTTAGAGCATTGCAGCCCATATTTCCTAATAACCTGTCCATATCTACGTTGATATACGCATAGGTTGATGTATGCTTGTTGTGCACATGTGCCAGCCCAAATCGTAAGAGGCTAATGAACAAGTTTACTACTGAGTGATTCAGACTAAAACAACACGCACTTTTATCCAGGTATCAATCATAGGTTAGAATATGACAAGATCTAGAAACAACGTTATGAGAGTTACAAGTGTTTCCCATCATCTATCATCATCACCTCCCCCTGCCCAGACCCATGGCTAATATCTAACCCTGATCCTTTCCTTTTAGAAGAGTTAATCGGATGTCATGAAAGTTCAAGTAGTTACGTGTTTAAAGTCAAAACTTTTGATCAAACGCAACAAAAGGTTCTGACTCAGAGCTTTCGAAATCGTTTACCAGATACCTATGACCCAGTGTTGACGTCACACTACAGAGAAGCCAGGTGACAATTCTCACTGGACCAGTCTACTGAAGAAGACCAAAGTACTGATCGAAATCTCTAGGTGAGAACAATCACTTAGGTTCAAGTAAAAGTTTTAACTTTAGACAAGAATCGACTACACGTTACCATGAATACGGTGTCGGTGACGTGGCGTCTGGGGCACTGCGAGTTCCCATGAGCATCTCTAGCACAGGAGACCAGATACTCGCACCCCGCGGGGGAGTACACAACGTACTTTTGCTGGTAACTTCCTCCGTAACGACAGCCGGGCAGCTGTCGTTTGTCGTCTGAAAATAACGTGATGGAGTGCGCATATTAGTATCGCCAAAAGATAAATCATCGATCCATGGCGCCATGCCGCCTCCTCCGAAGACTGACCATAGTCTATTCATAGGTTCAGGGTTCTTTATTGTAAGTTCATGCCCGAGGGCTGGTTGCAAGAGGACATTGAAGACAAGAAGTGGGTGATATGAAACTATATATCTGACATGAACTTCTACAATCTATTAATCTAACTTTCTAGCTCTAATTAAAGTCCGACTTTGAAAAATAAATGGGTCGGTAGACTTAAGCAGTAATACAGGCTTTTGTTGTTTGCTGAGATGTGAAAAACTTGGCAGAGTATTGGAGAATTCTTTTAATAACTTTATTCTTTCAAAATCGTAATGAGAACACTGACAGATAAAATGCACCGTATTACAATAACATTTTCTAGTCACAAGAAGGCCCCCCAAACCGTTCGTGACTGTGTGGTTTAGAGCAACCTGTATCTGTATACAAACATCCACCTTAACTGAAAGTAAAGCCGTGCCTAATTTGATACCAGACAAGGTGTCCGTAGGGATTTGCGGGCTCTTTTACAACAATGGTAATCATCACTTACCTTCTCCAGTCTCGTCCCCACCATCGTCTGACAGAATTTCTGCGTCTTCATCCAGGTGGTCTGCGAAGAAGACCGGGAAGTCGGGCTTGAAGCTGGCGAGAACTTCGGGCAGTACTGAGCGCTCTGCTGCGCCGGTGACGACCCAGCGGTTCTCGTGGACTTCGATGCCGTCTGCGTCCAGGACGGGGTCGTTTTGGCCCTGTAGTTGGCAACCATTCGTGTTTAGCTTGGGCCGACACACGTACGTACACGCATCATAGCACACAAGCATACATGCACACACACACACACACACGCATGCACACACACATACATGCACACACACACACACACACACACACATACATGCACACACACACACACACACACACACACACACACATGCACACACACATGCACACACACACACGCGCGCGCGCGCACGCACACACGCACACACGCACACACACACACACACACACACACACACACACACACACACACACACTTAATATATTTCTAGTCAAACAATATTTCCCTAACAGTGAAAGGATTAAAGAACTGTGTCGGTTTAGTTAAACTAAAAGTGGATGAAAAAACACATTTACAAAGCGGGAAAATGTCTACCTTAAACTGCTTAATGCCTGCCTCCTGCTCCTCAAGACCGCCGGGCTCCCCTTCGTCTTCCACGCGGAGCAGGAAACACTTGGAGTCCTTAGTGTAGCAGTACATGGACGTGCCGGTCTTACCCTGAGAAATGGTATGAAAGAAGTCCTGTTTAGTCACCTAATTCACACGTCTGCAAGGTTGCAAAGGTAGACAGAAGAATTAACTGAATTTTAAGATCTCAAAGCGACAGGGGATGTGCTTGGAAGATGTCGAGAGGGAAGCCCAGAATCGAGCTGGATGGAAGAGGATCATCGGTGGCCTATGCTCCGCACCGGGCCATGGGCCCAAGTAAGTAAGTAAAGGCATTAGGTTTTTTGTTTCCTGACTTGAATATGGTTTAAATTGAAGTTTAGTTGACACAATACTGCACTGCATATTTGGCTACCTTAGCCAAGTTGAAACCCCTAAAATATTTGATGTTGATCAAGATTTTGTGGTTTGCTGTAAAGATCAAACCATTTAGTAACTTTCAGTACTGTTTTATCGCAGTAACTACCAAAAAGGATATTCAAGGAACCGTTATGTAGCTATTATCTAGCTCACCGACTCGATTACTCACTCATTCACTCACCCAATCCCTCATTCACTCACGGAACGGTAGGGGTAGTATGCGTGTCAGCAAAAATATTTCCAGCCTACTGATTATTAAAAAAATCTTCTTTCACCTCTTTGTCTTTGAAGCAGTGACGGATGTCCACCTCTGCCCGCCCGTTGTGCGCAGGCACGTGGAGGGTCTCACAGTTGTGCTCGTCATCAAAGCTGATCGTTTCGGCGAAGACCACGCCGTTCTCGCTCACTTTGACGGTCTCCGTCTCCCCCTGAAAGTAAAGGAACTGACTGTGACCGCAGAACGTTCTCCTATCTAAACAATCTTTTCGCATGGAGTACTTCCGTCTCAGAGATCGCCCCGGGAAATGGCTGCATATCTGAGGTTCCTTTACTTTAAGGTTTAATGCAATACAGTTCAATTGCTACAGTTGCAGGGCCCTTGCAATTGTGCAAAACTTATATCGCGATACTGGTATCATAACTGTAACAAGGAATGACTTACATGTAATATTCTATTTGGCAGTACAGATTAATGATGCATGTTTAGTCTCAATCCGTAGACAGAAATGTCTGGTAAAACCTGGCAGGTCGACTTTTTGGCCGCACATATTTTTCGAGGAAAACAAATATGGCTCACCTCGGCCCTCCTTCCAAGCTCAGACGCCCCGTCGACGGTCTCCAGTGCCTCTCGGAGGGTCTCCAGCAGATTCTCCACCTCCTGTACGGACCTGCCGCAGGCGGCACCGGCCAGGCACAGCACCAGCATAAGGTAGATCCTCATGGTTCTGTGGGGCGAAATAAAACAAGAAAGAAATGGTATCAAAACGAGAACAATTTGTGCCCATGGAACTTACAAGTCAACAGGATCATATACAGTCTTACCTGCCTTTGCTCTTGTCAGAGTGGATACCAAAATGTCGCTCTGTGAACAGGAGACGGGTTGAGAGTAGCCCTGAAAGTGTCGGTGGTTCTGGTGTAGACTCCTACCGCAGCTGTGCCGCTAGAAGAAGTGCGGGGCTTCGGCGAGAGCAAGACTTTTTCAACTTTTGGAGATGTTTCAATTATCTGGGTAAAACTGGAGCTGATTGGTGGATAAAAGACGCACCTTAGAGCGACGTCAATCGTTGCCTAGCAATAAAGGTATTAAATCATAGTCATAAAAAACTCTGTAACGCCCCCCTTGGCCTTAAGCCGAGTTGAACATCACGCATCAAACCCCCTTAAGGTAAATTGAATATCACGCATCAGAACAATTTATCAGCAGCAGAGTTTTCGCACGGCAGTGCTTGGCACCGAGGCAGGCCTGCGTTTGACAGAACTGGTTGCCCATATGTTATCTACATCCAGTTGATGATGTAATAATTATGCGTGCCATGGCAGGACCCAAACTATCCAAGTGCTACTAACCACACAATTCTGGAACAACCTAACCGTTTGGTGCAGTTAGAAATGCTCATGAACTGAGGAGGGTCGAACGTAGGCAGGGTTTTCTCCATTATCCGTCCCTGAAATGTATTTCAGCGCTCGCGAGAAACAAAAAAATTAAACCATTCCACTCAAGAAATTTGTATTTGGTCCATAAACATCTCTGTTGACATTGCAAACCTGGTGTTTGTGTTTGACAGATCCCTTTCCCCAGATATTTTCTACATTCATTTTTTATTACTAAATGCATCCCCAAAGACATACATGTACTAGAATTGTCCCATACAAAAAGGCAACTATTGTTACCTTTTTATGGTTGATGCCATCGGCGATACATTAAGATTCTCACGACCTTCATGACCTGATGACGTGAGATACTGACTTAGCTGCCTTAGGCACATGTGGCTACAATGGTTACATACAAAAGAAAAATGCTAATTGAAGATTGAAGTTGACAAGTTGTTTTCGATTGGTTGATGTTACCTGTGAGACATTAAGATTCCCACGACCTTGCTAGCCTCATTTATTATTAGACACAACGTGTTGACTTGCAATAAAATATGGCAGTACCAGCTTCAAGGGCTGTAAGGAGGGCGGAGACACGTACGTTGAAAGCTGGAGAGAGAGCCCTATATACATGATAGTTCGTTCACGTTAGCTATTGACACTATATTATCACCCTATCGTTTCCAATGATTTAAAATTTTGTATTTTCTCATTGGAAATTAGATGTACAGTCATAACACTGTTATTGGGTGCGCATCCGTTACGTTTATTGGTCATTGGAGATCTATTGATTTCTGGACAAAACCCCTCACGGGGTATAACGTCCAGGGGGGGGGGGGGGCCAGTACCCTGGCGCGACTGGTGGTGGTGGTGCACAACAAAAAAATATATAGTGTGGCAATGTGAACAAAAAATTTAAACTGTGATATAGTATAAAGTATAGTATAGAGATAAAGCTTAGCAACTCTGTACCGATAAAACATAGAGGTAGTATTAGAAATAAACATGCATAAAACATGTTTTGGACGCTGGTCATCTTATGGCTTATAGCTTTTTGCCCAATATAACCCGTATGCAGTCTCCCGTGGATTGGGCGGGTACTCCTCGGGGAAGTTTGAGCTTCTGGCCGCCCAGCTCAGCTGTAGCACACGGAACGAGTTTTACGGGGTTGGTTTTATTCACTGTGCAGATATCCAGTCTTCGTGTTGGGTTCTTTTTCGTGCAGGTTTGACACTTGAGGTTTCCTCGTTTACGGGACCACCGGCTTGACTTCACCATCTAAGATAATGATTGATACGGATACATACATTTGACTGGCATGAAAAGGGACTGTGACATGAAATGTGATATGTGATATCATGTTACGTATAGTGATTCCGCAATTTTGTCAAAATTCTGACCGATTTGATATGAACTATGGACGAGTGGCATTAAGTAATGTTTTAATGTGGCACAAATCATTCCATGGCCCTTCTACGCACAGCCGATGAGGTTAAACAGGTCTGGTACAGCCATCTTCTCTCCATTTTTCTTGTCCATGGGGAAAGGTAGATAGAACCTGTTTAACAGGTACGGTGCGCGTCACCCGGGGTTCGGGATTCATCGTGAGAACTCGGCTGTCTTCGTACAAGTCAACCTGGGGGCAAATGAGATACTTAATGGCTCATTTAACCAAGGACACACAGACACACACTGAGTTTGTGTGCGTGCGCGCGTGTGTGCATGTATCTGTGTGTGTGTATGTATGTATGTGTGTGTGTGCGTGCGTGTGTGTGTGTGTGTGTGTTTGCAGGGGTGTGTTGATGTGATACTCTTACCCGTGTAGTTTTGGGTGGCTGTTGTGCATAATGGTTGCGAGTATCTTTGGGATTGTGATTTGCACCTACTGCGATACCTTGTCAAATTAATGATATGTAGTAAATGAAGGATATTGTTATGAAAGCTGACTTTGTTCATCTATTTAGATTGTCGTGTTGTTGATCCTATGTAGCCTGTGTTTACACTAGTCAGTCTACAACTGTTCCCGAGGGGGCGGCAAAATTCTGGGCAGGTGGCCACCAGGAGCGTGATTTTTAGTCAGGCTAGATTATTAGACCAAGGATTAAGCCATTTTTACGATACGTTGTTACCAGTTGTTAAGTGATCACACACTATTTACATACACTATTACTGTTCCCAATCTGCAAAATATAAAACTTCACGGAGAATTGTCGCCTATGGACACTTGTTACGTTTTGCCACCGAGAGACCTTGCCGTGGAGAGAGGGTTTCGAGTTCCCCGGCGGCAAAACCGTCCCTCCGCGGCATAACTCGCGTCGCTCCCCGAGAAAATTAACGCCACCGCCCCACAATTCTACGAACGAGGCTACAAGAGTAATAGCACAACTTAAATAGACTGACCTTAAAACTGTCTAAAACGTCACTCTTCTAAAGAAATGTTTAATGCTGACGTACCTGAGGAAGCAGGCCCGAGCACTCATCACCTTTGCAGGCATGATTCCCTACAGGATGCCGGGAGACACCAACGCTCGTCTGGTGCAGTTAGCGAGGTGGCCATTAACTGATGACGGTCGGGCAGAGCCAGGGCCATCTCCACCATCTGTCCCTGGACAGAATTTCGCCGCTTGGGAGAGACAAAAGATTCAACCATTCCGCTCAAAAAATTGCATTTTGTCCATAAACATCTCATATCATGTTTGTGTTTGACAGATCATTTTCCCCAGATATTGTTCACATTCAGTTTTTTTATTATTAGACACATCCCCCATGAAATACTAGAATATTGTCCCATACAAAAAAGCACTATTGTTACCTTTTTATGGTTGATGCCATCGGTGATACATAGAGATTCTCACGACCTTCGTGACCTGACGTGAGATAATGACTTTGCTGCCTTAGGCACATGTCGCTACAATGGTTGCATACAAAAGAAAAACGCTAATTGGAGATTGAAGTTGACAAGTTATTTTCAATTAGTTGATGTTACCGGTGAGAAATGGAGATTCCCACGACTTGGCTAAACTCATTGATTAGGCACAACGTGTTGACTTGCAATAAAATATGGCAGTACCAGCTTCAAGGGCTGTGCATGTGAGGAGGGCGGAGACACAAAGAGAGCTGGAGAGAGAGTCCTACATAATAGTTCGTTCATGTTAGCTATTGACACTAGCTATAAAACACAGAGGAAGTACTAGAAATAAACATGCATAAAACATTTTTTGGACTTTTTAACGCTGGTCATCTTATGGCTTATAGATTTGTGCCCAATATAACCAGTGTGCAGTCTCCCGTGGATTTGGGCTGGTCCTCTTCGGGGAAGTATGAGCTTCCGGCCGCCCAGCTCAGCTGTAGCACACGGAACGAGTTTTACAGGGTTGGTTTTATTCACTGTGTATATATCCAGTCTTCGTGTTGGGTTCTTTTTCGTGCAATTTAAAGCATTTTTCTTTTGTTCATATTGCAAAGTGAATATCATTATGATACTGTATAGTCCTATAGATGAGACAATCCCAAAAGTTACGACATGAATATTTCGAATTGTTCGGACCAAAGCTTCTACTAGTATGTAAGTTGTTGACGTGCATGTGCTTGCAGCACTAAAAAACAACTTTCACCCCAGTTTCCTCTATCAAAATCAGTCCCACCCATTTCTCTGAATTATTTAATGCTACCAGCGATACATTAAGATTCTCACGACCTTCATGACCTGATGACGTGAGATACTGACTTAGCTGGCTTGGGCACATGTGGTTACAATGGTTACATACAAAAGAAAAACGCTAATTGAACTTGACAAGTTGTTTTCGATTGGTTGATGTTACCGGTGAGAAATGGGGATTCCCACGACTTGGCTAAACTCATTAATTAAGTACAACTTGTTGGCGTGTAAAACTAACAATATGTTTTATTTACGGGGTTGGTTTTATTCACTGTGCAGATATCCAGTCTTCGTGTTGGGCTCTTTTTCGTACAGGTTTCAGTTTGACACTTGAGGCTTCACTTCAGTTATCAAAATTTGTGAAATACTACTCAAAGATTCAGGAAGACGACTGCATGCTCATTGGATTCAAACTGATAAAAAGATTTTAAGCCGAATTTCAATAGATATCATTTTAATAATTCTATGGACACAATTATATGACTGGCAAAGTTTAGTATACTTCGATACTTAGTATACCAAATCTACCTAATATCATGATGTGAAGTTGGAAAATTTTGTTTTCATCTGGCATATATCGCTATTGTTTATGCTGACATGATCGAGCAGACGTACCTGCAATTTACAGCTTTTGGTATATCCTGTTTTTGTGTGGAGTAAGCCTGGCGTATCTAACTCCAGGTGTTACCTAAGCTATTTAAGTACTAAATGATTATGCCCCTGTCGTATCTGAAGACGAGTTTCGTAGGGGTTTTTTTGGGGGGGGGGGTGACAAAGTCGCAAGTGCATGTGTCTATTCGGTGCTAGTGGTATTGCAAAACTATGACGTCGCACTGTTGATGTTTCCCTGCATATAACTGCTTTGTGAATTTTGTTGGTAAATTGCGTACATTTAGCTTGGCTAATTTTCTCAGGTGAAAGTAGTTGGGACG